CTGACCGTGTGGTTATGAATACATTTTTCAGTGTTTATGTGACGGATTTTATTTCGTTTTCAAAAGATTAATTACGCGTGAGAGGATGATTCTCTTAATACATGTTAAAGGATATCCACCAGACAATACAGGAATCAGTGAAGGCCAGCACTATGTCACACAAAACTTTACTGCTGGTGTCCCCTCGATCCTGCAGAGAAAAACATGTCAGACACACACACACACACACACACACACACACACACACAAAAGAAAACACACACACACACACACACACACACACACACACACACACAGTACTGCAGCGCTCTTGGGACTCACAGCGTTGACTCTTAAGAGTCCCTCGATGATGGAGAAGATCAGGTAGAGCAGACCAACGCCAACGACTCTGTGCAGCAGAGCGCCGAGTCTCGGCCTGCGGGAGAGAAACGAGAAACGTCGCTCTGTGTGTGTGAACTGTATCTGACCGCTATATAAAGTGAGTTGGATCAGGTGGCAAGGGATGGCGCTGGACAGACCTGTCACGCCAAAATGTATAGTGAGGGTGTGTTGGTAACGCCTAGCAGAGGCCCCAGTCCGCAAGATCTTCAACGCACACCTCCGGCAGAGCTTCAACAGCAATCTGAGGGAGACTGGGGACATTGAGTCCGAATGGACCATGTTCAGCATCTCCACTGTCGAAGCCGCTGCACTGAGCTGCGGCCGCAAGGTGGTTGGTGCCTGTCGTGGTGGTAACCCCCGCACCAAATGGTGGACACCGGATGTGAAGGAGCCACCAAGCTCTGATGCATTCATACTCCGATGGGAGTATGAATGCATCGGAGAGCGAGTGGGGAGCAAGTGTATTCGGCATGCAGACAGGAGCCAGGGATCGAACCACCAACCAATCAACAGATGACCTGCTCCACCTCCTGAGCTACCCCAGTTGTATTTCAACTACAGGGGGATCACACTCCTCGGCCTCCCTGGGAAAGTCTATGCCAGGGTGCTGGAAAGGAGAGTTAGTCCACTAGTCGAACCTCGGATACAGGAGGAACAATGTGGTTTTCGTCCTGGTCATAGATCATTGGACCAGCTCTTTACCCTCACAAGGATACTTGAGGGTGCATGGGAGTTTGCCCACCAATCTACATGTGTTTTATGGACTTGGAGAAGGCATTCGACCGTGTCCCTTGGGGGGTCCTGTGGGGGGTGCTCAGGGAGTGTGCGGTGTCTGGCCCATTGCTACGGGCCATTCAGTCCCTATACAACCATCACAAGAGATTGGTCCACATATCGGCAATAAGTCAGACTTGATCCTGGTGGGTGATGGGCTTCGCCAGGGCTACCCTTTGTCACCGATTCTGTTCATAATTTTTATTGACATGATTTCTAGGTGCAGCCAAGTGGCTTTCACGTGTGAAGCAAGTGGGAATGAGAATCAGCACCTCCAAATCTGAGGCCATGGTCCTCAGCCAGAAAAGGGTGGAGTGCCCACTCCGGGTCAGGGACGAGTTCCTGC